TTACGTGAATCATTTCATCTGTCTGAGAAAAGCAAGTGACTGAGAGGATACATCTACCGGTTAGCTCCTTGTTTCCTTTGAACCATCTGATGGTGGTGGCTGGTCTGCTGGCCATGGCAGTGCAGTTCAGCTCAATCTCTTCTCCCTCAACGGCGATCTCCTTCTGGATATCAATTACCAAATTGCGTGGCGGGACTACAATGAAAAAGACAGCACAACATGTACTTGATGAAAAAACCCCAAACATTCTTTGATCACTAACACAAGACAAAACTGTCAGGAAAGCCTGTAAAATCTACTAGAGGAAACTAGCCACCAGCATTTATTTGATCTTTCAATCGATCAAATGCTTTGATAGGCGGTTTCACAGTAATCAAGGGTAAGCGCTTTCACTCTCCGCCTAATAATCATCGTAGCTTCGCAAATTATTGCTTATCAAATTTGTAACTTTCTGTCCTCTCTCCCAGGCAGGCACCATTCCAGGGAAGAGCTTTAGCCTTCTGTGCTGTTCGGTTGTGTGCGTTGCCGTTTAAAAATACAGCTTGACTCCGTGCACGTTTCTTGACTACTTCTGACAAGGAGAGGAAACACAAAAACTGACATTTGGAAGTGCGTTACTTACGGTGCCTCTAACCTCGCAAGGCAGTTTCTCCTCTCGCGCTGTTCAGCTTCGAGCCTGGGCCGTGAGGAGTGGAGGCAGGCCAGCAAACATCAAGCTCATTTAAGACGCTCAAAAAGCCACCGAGCGCGAGCCCGGAGTGGAATGCCGTCACCTTTGAGGCAACACGGTGTCCCCCATCAAACCGCCATAAACCAAATACAAGACCATCCCAGGGAGGAGAGAGCCAGCTCTGCCTCCAGTGACAGGCACTTGCATCGTATGGCCCTTCCTCTAGGATGGTAATTTGCCGTTCTCCCCAGACACGTATCTTCTTGTAAAACACGAAGCTAGAAGACTATACTCAATGAAAAATTATCCAGCGATATTCAGAAACAGGCTAGAACTTCAGGGGGATAACCACCGCTGCAGCACAAGCCAGAGACGTGACGAGCAGCCTTAAAATTACGACACAGAAGCAAGGAACCTCTTCCCCACGAAAGCACCGGTAGCTAGTAAGGCAAAAACCAGAAAAAAATGAACATCAAGAGTTTGTGCAGCACAGAGCTGCAGTTTCGGAAAAAAACCCCAGAACTTCCAAAGGAAACTCAACTTTGCTCTGATCAACGTGATTAAGCAACCGCATAGTTCAAATGTGACTAACACATTTTTGAGCTGATGAAGAACAAATATGTGTAAATACCATCCAGATGATCAAATGGACTAATTAGTCACTTGTGACTTTTCTCTAAAAAGAACAGAACGGGCTACATATTTGAGATGTTCACATGTTCCAATTAAGCATGAATAAATCTACATACCGTGTCACGGGAGACATTAAAGTACGTGGGAGAGCCGGGGGAAGCACACTGCTAAAGCAGGAAAAAGCAAGCGCGACGCCCTCTCCGAACACTGCCTGCAAAAGAAGGATGCCTCCAGACCTTGCTCCGCTCTCCGAAGCGACTATCGTTAGCAGCAGATCGGCAAAACTACTCTTTGATGACAGAACTGAAGGTTTGTCGAAGCCTGAGCGATGACCACCAGATCTTTGGTGGGGAAGGCATCCCCAGGAGGACCAGCCACACACCGCTCCCCCGGCCCCGGCTCATTTTTTCTCCTCATTAGGGAGTCAATAATAGGGAAGACAGGAAAGACGCGTCATCCTCGGTGTCACGGTGCCCGATCTCTCCGTACAAACGCTAGCTAAGATGAACGGTCCCCTCCCCAGTCTTCTCATAATAAACATCCATCTTCGCTGCCTGCTCCGTGACCTACCGTTTGGCCCCAGCGTGCGACGAAGGTGAAGAGAAAACACCCGCTGCTTTGCAGATGGCGGGAAAAGCAGGCACACACCGGCCATGCCGTGAACCCTTCTCAAAAAGAACTGAAGCACGAGGCAAGAAAACACTCTCCCCTGAATTCTCAAGCACAATTCGTGTTTAAAAAAAAAACAAACCCCAAAGAACCGCATTTTGTCTGCCGCTTGAAAGCCAGGCAGTGCTGTGGCTTATAGGTGAATAAAGTAAGTACTGTTATTTCAAACACCTTCTCGGCACTGTTAGCAGCGAAATGAAGTCCAACAAACTATTTCTGCGCGCGTACGATTAGAGAGGAGAGCTGGAAGAGAGCTTCCTATTCCCGTGAATACTGGGAAGCGCACTAAAACTTTGAAGACGTTGATAAACGTAATAGCTATAGTAGAACCGCTTATACACATTATTTAAGCGACGTCTAAAAACCTAAGAACCAAATCTCATTAAATAAAAGGAGGAAGATTTAAACTAATCAGCGAGCGAGATCTGACATTAAGTCACCCTCTGTGATTCAGGTTCTCCTATTAATAGAGTCTTAAAAGCCGCTGCTAATCTGCAGAAACAGCTCTAATAGCACGGGCTGCTATTATTGGTAACCGCATCGGTCTTGCGGCTGCCCGTGCACCGCAGTCCTGCAAAGCCCGAGGGAGCAAAGGAAAGGCAAGAGCTCGGCAGGGCT